AATAAATCTCGTTCTGAAATCATTTAATGACAGTTGGACTTCAAGTCAAATTCTAAAAGATTAGACTCACGCAATTATCCCACCTTTCATAAAACCTCAGAAAATCTCAAGGAAATTTCGTCATACCGTCCTATTTCTCTTACTTCAGTAATTGCCAAATTATTAGAAAGAATGATTCTACATAGAATGCTAGATTTCAGTTTTCAAAACAAAATTTTTCATGTTAATCACCATGGTTTTTACCCTCACAGAGGCAGCATTAATGCATTACTTCAATTACAACATGACATTATACTGGCTAGAGAACGCAAAGAATATTTTATTTTGGTAGCGTTGGATATTAAAGCAGCATATGACTCAGTGTGGCCAAATGGCCTTATTTCTAAATTAAACAAAGTTGGATACTCTGGTAGATTACTGTGATAGATTCAAAACTTCTTATATCAGAGAACAATTCAAATAAAATGGAGGAACATTTTTTCAAAAATCTTTAAAAACAATTATGTTGTACCCCAGGGTTGTATCTTAAGTCCTTTCCATTTTATGATTTATATGGCAGATATTTTTGAAATTCAACGCGACAGCCATGTGGCGAATGTTCCGAGGAAGTGGGGGAGAAGGGTTTACTAGAATCCCGTTCCCCTACGTTCCGGATAAACTCGTCTGGAAAGGACAAGCGGAGAACCGGTTTTGAGGGTCCCAACTGGAGGCAGACGGCATAAGCGTGCTCTGTATGTAAGTTTGTTTTTTAAAAATGTTCTGTAAATAAATTGTACATATTTATATATCTAGCCTGGCTGTGAGTTTTCGTACCCAATACGTCACAGTCTATAAAGTGGAGGCACCGATGGAGATAAATAATTACTCAAATGTAATTTTTGGCTAGATATATAATGGATGAATTCAGATTGCACAGAACAGAAGAAAGTATTTAGACCCTCCTGGTCTTTGAAGAAACGCCACCCCGGCTATCAAAAATTATTTAGACCATCCTGGTCTTTGAAGAAACGCCCCCCGGTAATCGAGAAGTGTTTAGACCATCCTGGTCTTAGGAGCAACGCCGCCCCGGGGTAATCGAGATGAGATCAACGAGCCGTCCCGGTACGCAAGAAGTTCTGCTCATAGAAGAAGTAGATAGACCACCCCGGTCTTGAAACAAGTGCCACCCCGGCCAACGACAATTCCTGTCATAAAAAAACGTATTTATACCATCCCGGTCTTAAAAGAAACGCCGCCCCGTCTACAAAGAATTCCTAAAATAGGAAAGAAAAAGAGATAAAATCAACCTGGTCTTGGAAGCGCCGTAGTACGTAGTGCGGATCAACGAAAATATATTTCAGGTACGATTTCCTTTCTATCTGGCCAAATGAATTAAATCATATCTTCTGCATATTTTTGTGATTTGAAGCATTAAAACTTGGTGACTAAACTGAATTACATGTATTAAGAATAGATTCTTTTAATGCGCTGTTGTAATTGGTTCTGTATTTATAATCATATAATTTAGGGAAGCAAATTTTGTATTTGAATATAGATATATATATTTAAATTTGCATATGAGTCACATTCTGTGTGATAGTGGAAATTATTTAGTTAAGTACATATATTTTTTTGTGTGCGAATAGCATGATTATGTAATACTGTGTATTTTATTCATTGCATTTCCGGTGTGTTTTTTAGAATTGCGTAAGCTACTGGTAGAAAGGTTTCATAAAAATCTTAATAATTCTTTTTCAAAAAAATAAATGAATATTAAATATTTATTTTAAGCTATTTTGTATGAAAAATAGAAGGTTTTGTTGCTTTTGATACTTTGCAATTTGTTGTTCTTTATGAATATTAGTTTATCAAATACGTATTGTAGTTTTCCTATTAATGGTTACCAATTTTGAATTTTACTATTTTAATATTATTTTACTAAGAAAGAGTGTATAAGTGATACTGCATTCATTTTAACTGTGAGGTTTGAAATATTTTTATTGTAAAAACTTTTTGGCTAGAAATGGCTTATTTAGAAAAAGTCGAATAGCAGAACTAAGATATATTGCACAACAATTAGGAGAAAAAGTAAACGACGATCTAAAATTTATAGACCTTAAAAATCTCATTGTTAATAGCCCAAATTACGAAGAAGAATTCGCTAGAGAAATGTTAAGTAGGATAATTGAGAAAAGGTTAAAAACTAGCACGTCACGTGTCAGTAAATATTTTGATCTAAATGAAATATATATTTTAAGCACTAATGAATTAAAAACACTTCTTAAATAAAAGAAACACAGCTCTAAAACTATAGATAAAGTAAGAGGTAAATCCGAAAGCGTTTCAATTAATCCCTGTACTATTAGAAGTAAGGAGAAGGGGGTTGTGATTCTTGTCCTTAGAGAAACAGGAGCCTCATTAGATATAGGTTGTGAAAAATATGCTGCACCAGAGATGTTTACAGGGGATCATGCCTCGATCAAACATATTCTGGATAATGGTATGACGTGTCTGCGTCCCGCAGAACTGGAGATTGAGTGTGGGCTGGGACACGTGGTCTCAAAGCCAGTTGTTAGTCCGGTACATTTGGATAAGGAAAAATATAATGATCAATTTGGATTAGGAGAGTATTTAGTTGAAATCGATTAAAATCTTGTACCTTCGTTAACAAAAGAAGACCAGGACACTATGAATTTAATTAAAATTAATGCTTATAAATTCATAGAAACACAGCAGAAAAGTAAAGAATCAGCTCCCTTGATTCAAAAGAAAGAAAATGGCATTAATAACGAAGTCAGAGATCAGGAAATAGCACCCATGCAATTAGTTCCTGTAAGACGAGAAATCTTTTCTAAGTTATATGTTAATAGAGTAGAACCCCTTCCTATTATACCAGGAAACAAACATATTTCACCTGACATGTCTATGTCACCGAGGTGCCATGAGGCAGTACCAGTGCCTGAGATGGCATCCACACCCCTTGTTGAGGCGTCGCCACAGATTTTTAGAAGGGTCTTTCCTAGAGAGATCCAGGCAGATAGAGAAACCTTACTTATGAGTATTTTAACTACCGAGTTACTTCAAAAATTAGGAACTTACTGTCCTTTACGAGTGCCATTTAGATTAAAAAATGCTTCCTATTGTTTCAGCATGTTGATGGATGAACTACCTCAAGGGCATGAAAAGTTTGATTTATCATATTTCGACAATGTGGTTGTCTTTTCAGAGGGCTGGGACTTTCTTATAGACCACATGGATGGGATATTGGAGCTAAACACACATTTAGCGGTCAGGCCAGCGGAATTTGAACTCGCTCAGGATGGCGTTGAATATTGTAGTCATGTTGTTGGGTTGGGAAAGCAGTCCCCAGCTCAACTGAAGGTTAGGGCAATAATAGATTTTTCAATATCACGGTATAAAACTCAGGTTAAAGTTTGGGGATATGATCGACAATATATCCCTATGTTTTTTCGGTCAGTTACTCCGGTAACAGAAACGTTAAAAAGAAAATCAAAGAAAGGGGACATTAAATGGACTTTTGAATGTCCAGAGTTCTTTAGACAATTGGAGGGAAATTTGTCGACTAATTCAGTTTTATACGCCCCTGATTTCACGAAATGATTTATTTTTCAACCCGAAACAATTTTATTTATTTATTTATTTTTTTGTATGCAGATCATAAACTTTAACTTAATTTCGGTTCTAAAAAAATGTATGATATTGAATCGCCTGAAAAAAAATCTTCACATTTTAATGTGTTCAAAGTATTTTCTCTGATTGAAAGCTAGAATGTTTATGTAGTTTAAAAAAACCATTTTGTGAAAAAATATTGCTTATTAGGTATACTATTTTCTTATACAATCGAAATGATATTCATATCTTTTTAAACATACATACTATAGGCATGACCAATTTTTGAATATAAGTATATTTTATGAGTAGTGATTTATTATGATAATAATACTGAATGTTGTGCATATATCTCAATATTTAATATAGATGTGTGATTCTTGAAACATTTCTGATTAAAAAAAATTGTTCTTATTTTTAAAAATTATATATTTCTAATACGGCGATGTAATCATTTTATTAGTATGATTCTAGAGTAGACTATAAGACGTGTAAAGTGTTTGATGTTTCTTTAGTTCATGAATAGGATTTTGAGTAAATATGATTCAGTTTATTGATTTGAGATATTAATGTTAATTATTGTCATTTAATTTTTTTTTCACTCCCTTATGGAGTTTTCGCCAATATCAAACATCCTTGCTGCAGTACGATTCCATTTTCTTCAACAAATTGAATCACTTTGATCTTGACACCCGTTTCATTCGTTTACCAGGACCCATCATTGCTGCTCGCTATTTGAGGCGTATTCAATATTATTCATAGTATTAAATATACTACAGACAGCGAGCGTAATAAGTCTCAGAATTGTTCTAATTTATATCAGAATTAACTGTCTGCCTCGTACATCACATAATAGGGGAAAAAGGAATTAATGATTATAGAAAAGCGTGGGAAAAATCGAACCATGGTGCCAATTTAGCCCCCTTCTTGCGCTTAACGGTATAGTTCTAGAAGTATATATTTTTTCAAAAGAGAGTGTGGAATGATTCACCCAATAAATGACTTCGAAACATAAGGAAATTGCACATGTACATTTTAAGTTTTTTCTTAAAAAAGGGGGTGCATGTTATACAGCAACTATACCTAAAAATTAAAAAATGCTGCTTGAAAGTATAGGTGCACATTATATGCCGTATTTTCTGGTAGTTCACACTTTCCTTGTATATATTTATTTAAATATATATATTTTGTTCAAATTTTCAACCGCAAATAAAATAGTTTCCATTCATTCATTCAAGTTCAAATACAATTTTTTGAACTTGTAGTTAATGACACTTGATGTTTAATACAGTTTTTCAAATATTGATTCAATGATTAAATTAAATTGAATATATAGTAATAAACAAGAATAATAGTTCAACAGCATATATGAAAGGAAAATCATTCGTTGTATCTCTGTAGCACAATGGATAGTGCATTGGACTTTTAATTTAAAGGTCGTGGGTTTGATTCCCACCTGGGATGGCCCAATTTCTGAGAATGTTATTTCTTTTTACTATAACATTTAATTCATGAAAAGTAACAAACAAAAATAATAGTCCAAAGTTGCAAGGAAAATTGCTTTCTATTTTGTCACTTAATATTGTGATTCTGTCATATATATACATATTTATATTAATTGCAACTATTTAATAAAAAGTAACTAAAATAATATTTTTTTTGTTACCCTAAGTAGGAAATGACTTAAACTTTTATTTTATATCACTTGTTGCAATTAATTTTATTTTTTAGGTTATTAAAAAGGCTTTGTAGAAAATAAACACAACAGTTTTGAAAATTTGTTCATATACTTTTTGTACAAAGTAGATCCTTTTTATGTATTCTTTTTATATAAGTTTTCACCATTTGTACTATTTGTGACATTTTTAATGAAAGAATCTGATGCATTGCAACAATTTTTTCACATTTAACTTCGATTATGTTACGTTTAATCCTAAATCAATTTTATTTGTATTGTCCAGCATTTTTTTTCTTTTGGAGATTCACAACCATTCTGAAATTGCTTTTCTCAAGAAAGAGCATTTAAAAGCTGTATCATACTTTTCTATCATTTGGGATAAAAGACAAGAATGTCTTTTATAGCTAAAATTGCTGATATTCATTTCCATGCTTTAATTTAAGATCGTCATTAGAGTCTATTCCGATAAGTTCCTCTTGTAAATAGGACAATTTGTTTTTCAAAATCCCCTTATGAATTAAGTGCTTTTCTTAATATTACCATGGTCAAAACATTTTCCAATCGAAAACTGAATCAAGGGCATTTAAAAAATAAATGTAGTTTGAAATGTCATGTTCCTGGAAAATTGTCGTTGACAAATTGAGACACTGGAAAAATTCATGACTTCCATTGTTATACTCTTTTAGCTTCATTCTGGCAAGAAATGGTAAAATGACACTCCATGGCTGAATCACATTTAGATTGTCGCCTTGGATCTGCATGTTAATCCAATAAATTTAGTAAATAAATCTGTTCAATTGGTAAAATCTAGTTTTTGTGGTGAAATTTTTCTCGAAAAATTTGATCTTTAACATCACAAAACTCTCAGTTGTCAAAAGAACAACAACAAAAAAAAAACTTAGCTAATAAATATAGGCCTTTTCAAGGCAGTGTACTTTAGTGTGAATTATTTAATGATTAAAGCTCATAATTTTTCCTCTCACATTTATGCAAATAGCCATGTGTTCAATACACTGCTTTAGATTCAGTTTATTGCTTTGATGACTAATTTAAGAGATTCTTTCCATCTACCATTCAGATTTTTAACAACTAAATTATATCACTGGATGATGCAGTGTATATATTGCTAATACATGCTTTGCTAATGCATTGCTATTGTACCAAGAGTTTCAATTTTCTTCCAAAACATAGATAAAAAGTTTTGGCACAAGGGAAAGAAATTTCATGTATTTATTTTCAGAAATACTGAAGTTTATAAATTTTTAAATCAAATTTCAAAAATCGTAAAGAAAAAGTTATGTCGAATCCAATATTTAAATCACGTGGTTTATAAGAATAAATCTTGCACTCTTTGAGGACTTAGGCATGATTAATCATGAGAATGAGGCACAGAGAGATTGAATGTTGTATTCATGAAAAAACGTCAAAATTTACTCATTTTAGAAAAAATTACAAAAAGAGCGAAATATTGTTTATTGAACAATATAACAAAATTATTGTGGTGAAATAAACAATATATCCAATTCAGGATTTATTATTTTTTTCTTCTGATTGTGGTTTGGAAGAAGGGAAAACGGTTTTAAAAACAACAGAAATGTTCGAGATGTTCTTTGAAGTTGATATTACAACGGGGCATTACAATCATTAATTTTGACATTTTTAGTTACTATATTTATAACTAATTGTAAATTAGGAATTTAAATGGTCAAAACAGATTCTTCTGATTGTTTCCCATCCTTTGGTGTGTTTTCACTCGAACATTTGTTTACTCTTTAATGTTAATACAGATAGATAAATATGTATTTATAATATAATAAACACTTTATAGATAAATAGAAAACATCTGTAAACGGGATGCTCCATTCATTATAAATTAAATTTATGAACTGGTTAAAATTAAAATGATTCTAGACCCCATTTTTTCCCAAAAGATGTGGATTCCTTGCAGGCTATCATAGACCCAAGGGGGTCAATACGGATCCTTTTGAGAGTCACTGATATAGAGCAGCAGTTTTTTATATTTTAGTATAAATATTATATCTCTCTATGTTAGATCATGGTTACAAGGTGAAACAGGTAATATGAAAAATAAAATTTTTTTTAGTTAATTCTTACTTAGATGTACAATTTTTTTTTTATTTTAACTACTACAAGTAATATAAATATATTTATACATATGACAGAATCACAACATTAAGTGGTATTTAATTATCATTAAAGTATCATATTCTCATCCATAACCATCGTGTATATAAAATTTCAGCTCAACTGAATCCTTTAAAATGTGAGGGGAAAAAATCTATTTAAGTTTTGATTTAAGTCACCAAAAATGAAAACAAAGTAGCTGTATCTGTAAATCTTTAAATAATTAGTTTGTCAATTTTTTAAATTAATTATAATTTGATTATCATATTTTTACCTAAAACAATAGTGTATAGAAAATTTCAGCTCAGAGAGTGCTTTAAAATGTATTTTATTAACAATTGAAAATTCCACTAAGATAAATAAATGCATAGAGAGTGTGAGCTAATTGTAGGAACTGAAAAAGTTATTTATCAGAACTTACCTATGCACAAATAATGTTCTACAGTATAGATATTTTTTGAAAAGTAATTTCAAAATTTAATATTGCATCAAAAAATGTTTGCACATTGTTTTTCTTTTCTTTTTCAATTTTATATATGCTTAATTTTTGAATACTATAACACAGTATGTAACCCATTAGACTTCTCCACCTAGAAGGTATTCATATTTTGCCATTATGTTCCTTCAGTTTCCTATATATTGCTCTCGTTAATCGGATAAAGTATTACATAAACATATTTTTAATAACGGAGATATTTAATATTTATATTAGATTTTTTCATTGAATTAATAAGAATGATATTTAAAAGCTTATCAACTTCTTCAGACTTTAGAAAAAAAATTTCTTTTCTAATTGTTTTAAGCTGTAATTACAAGCTGAATATTTTTAAATCATATGTTATAATGAAGAATAAAATTCTGCTTTTTTTTTACATGTTCTACATTATTATTGAATACATTTTTTTTTCTTTTACAGAAGGATTTTAACATAAAATATTCCAAACAAGAGTGCAAGACTCATTCTCTTTATTGTAGATTTTAACTATAGATTTTTGTTGTCACATCTGAGAAAAAAGCTTGCACATTTTAAGTTAGAAAAATGTCATTCACTCAAGAGAACTCAAGACATCATTCACATGTTCTTTATATTATAAGGCCTTTTGTTTGTGAAATACGCAACAAGGAATTTTCTCAAGCTGGTAATTTAAAGAGACATTTACTTATTCATTCAAAGAAAAAGCCTTATGTTTGTGAAGTGTGCAACAAGGGATTTTCTGATGCTGGTAATTTTAAAAAACATTTACTTAATCATACTAAGGAAAAGCCTTTTGTTTGAGAAGTATGCAACAAGGAATTTTCTAGAGCTTATAATTTAAAAACACATTTATTTACTCATACAAATGAAAAGTCTTATGTTTGTGAAGTGTGCAACAAGGGTTTTTCTCAAGTTGGTAATTTAAAAACACATTGACTTATTCATTCAATGAAAAAGCATAATATTTTTGAGATATGCTACAAGGGTTTTTCTAGAAATAGTGATTTAAAGGTACATTTACGTTTTCATACCAAGGAAACGCCTTATGTTTGTAAAATGTGCAAAAAGAGCTTTTCTACAGCTTATAATTTAAAAGTGCATTTACTTACTCATACAAAGGAAAAACCTTATGTTTGTAAAATGTGCAATAAGGTTTTTTCTCAAAATAATAGTTTAAAGAAACATTTATTGGTTCATACAAAGGAAAAACCTTATGATTCTGATGTGTGCAAAAAGGGTTTTTCTCAAGATAGTAATTTAAAAATGCATCTACGGATTCATACAAAGGAAAAACCTTATTTTTGTGATGTGTGCTACAAGGGTTTTTCTCAAATTGTTAATTTAAAAAGACATTTACAAAATCATACAAAGGAAAAAACTTTATAAAATGTGCTATTAGGTGTTTTCTGAAACTGGTCACATAGAGCATATTTATATATTCGTAGGAATTAAAAATTTCATGTTCATGAAATACACTGCATTGCTTTCTCTGGAGACATTTCTGTTAGCCATCTTACTTTTAAAACCAATAAGAAATGTCCACTGTGAAATGTAGCATTTCTTACATTATACCTTTAATAATGACTAATGCTTTTGTAGCTGATAGAAAGCCTTACATATAAATTCTTCAAAATGTCTTTTTGGTTTAGTTTTATGTTATAGTATACTCACAGTATTGCAAGATAGACATGTTTTCCTTTTTCAAAAGAATATCATTGTTTTCTTAAAGTAATGTAATTACGGGAGCAAAAATTAATGACTTTGTTTTGTTTATTTTATTGTGTGAAATTATTCTGATGTTTTTAATTACACTGTAATTTTATGTGTATTTTTCAGATATAGCATTTAAAGAAAAGTAAAAGTAAGTTATTAAAGCTTATTCACATAAATCAGTTGAATATGTGTTAAAATAAATTCTACGAATGTGAGTTTATTGATATTTACCTATTTCTAAAAATCGTTTTTAAATACAAATCTAAAGTATGTGTATGTACTTTCAATGTGATGATGCTTAATGTTTCTTGTGTTAACCTGGTTTTGCAGGATTTTTTTCTTTTTTTTAAAAAAAAAAATCATGGTGAGAGAATTCCTGCTCTAGAAAAGGAACAATTTAGTATAAATATATATTATAAAGTAATTAAAAAAATGTATGAGGGATATATATCC